TGGACCACTGCGGCTCACTCTCTCTTCCTTCCCTCCTCCTTCCGCTGGATCAGGTCATGCCGCGATAATTGTGTGTGCGGGGTGCCTTCACTGCAGCAACACGTGAGAGCATACAAATATGTGTGTGTGGGCGGTGTGTGTGTGCTGTTGTTGGTGCTTTCAGAGCCTTCGGATTTCACAGTGGCGATTAGCGCTTGTTTTCTTTCCTAACGTGTGTATGCGTGTGTTCAAGAAGTGGAGAGTACAGCAGCAACAGCGGCAATACACCAGACACGTCAGTGGGGAGCAGAGCAGAGCACCCACGCGGAGAGCGGGGCACGAGACAATCCGGAAGGGACGGCACGGAGGACCATGACCCACAGAAAAGAGCAGCAACACGGCAAGTCACGGCGGGCCGTCGGTGTGTGCGGGCCAGCCCTCACGCGGTGCAACACGCCACACCCAACAGGGAATGACAGACAGACAGGCGGAGAGAGATGAATGGATGCCGTCAAGAGGCACTCAAAATCAACATGGCCCGTGAGCATGCGGCCACTCCACGCAGGAACACAAGAGGAGAAAAGGATGAGAGGGGGAAAAGCAAGAAGCAGCACAACACACACAAAAGAAACAAAAGACAGGTGGGAAAAGCATCGCCAAGGGCCACACCCTGGCAGGCGACTCCACACTAGCCCTCACACACACACACACAGGCACCATCGCAGTGCCGTCAGTCCGCGGGTGAGAAGATTCGGCCCTCCACACAACAAACGCACACAGAGCCAGCAATCAACCACCAATGGACAAGAACGAGAAGAGACACACGCGCCATAGCAATGCTGCCAGTCCGCCATGGAAGAGAAAAAGTAACCCACCGCCAACACACAACGCACACGGAGCTAGCAATCACCCAAAGAGCCACACGCGAAATTAATTCCTCATCCATCCACGACGCGGCGCCTCACTCCACGCGGTCACACGGAGCGCACTGTTTCCTCAATAGAAATTATTCGTCGTCCATCCCCTTAAAAATGCTTCTGTTAGTGATGGGAATCAGAACACAATAGAAGAAAATGGGCAATGCAGTAGTACTGCGACACCACCAGCCACAATGATTCCCTCATACCAGGGCAATTCTCCAATTATGCCTCGTATGCACACATAATCAACATACCATATAAAGATCACCCAATGTTTTTCACCAGAAACCAAACAACCCCACTCCCTCCCTAATTTTCTTCTGCCACTATTGTGTTCGATAGCGTTGGTCATTTTGGGCATTTGTGTGCGGTGCTGCCGCATGGGGATGGTGCACCCGCACCGCATGCTCAGACACAAGTATCCAAAAATATATAACTCCCACAATATTTTTTGCCACAAATCAAAACTGCCCCTTTCCCCAATTTTTTTTTTACTATTTATACGGTTCCTCCACACTTCGGAGGGATTTGTCTCTTCTATTCCAAAGTCTCCGGATGATATTGTCACTTGGTACTGGCGCACCTTTTCCTCCCAGAATGCCGCTATTTCACGGCTTTCAACGTCGCTCACACTATTGGGATTGACGACATCACATCTCCGCCAGTCATTCATCGGCGTGCTGTCTGCCTGCTGCACATTAATAATATCCCACGACATGTCTCGGGATAACTCCTCCCAACCATTAAAATATGCCGCCAGACACTCAGTGAACTGCCTCACAGTGCTGGCGGTGGTGTGGTGCCCACCCGCCGTAGTCATCTGCAGCCCAACCAGCGTCCTCCGCGGTGACTTCAGAAAGAAAAAAAAAGTCCACCAGTGGAAAGCCTGCACCCGCCGGTATGCGCAGCAGCCGATGCTTTATATTAGTATTTGTATGGTAGTCCATTGCAACCACTCCACATACAACTCGGCGGGGTGCCCTTCAGGGTTCGCCTTCAGCACCGCGCACTGTCCTCCACGACGTGCTGGTGGCCTCAGTTCCTTGAGGTCCTCCAATAATGCACTGAAAAACTCCCCAAAACATGAATGCGCGCAAGCCAAACTTTTTCATACATTCAGAAAAAAGAGTATTCCTCTTCCCCAATACTAGCAACAGAAAAGAATACCTTTCTCACTCATCACGTTTCCAGAAATAGTGCGGTATTCGACGCCCGAAGCAAAAAGATATCGGTGCGTTGAGAAATACCTCAGCACCGACTTCTGCTCTTGTTCGGACAACCCTCACGAGCTTTTGAGACGGATCCTCGGAGTCCCACAGTCTCACTCCCCCATGTGTAAAGTGCTTTTCACCATCCCCAGACTTGATCCCATCCCAGACTTGATCCCATTAACGGCACCCAAGCGAACAATATAAATTTTCTCATCAAAGATGTGACGTGGAATCGGCCCCACGTTATCCATGCGTTCTTTGACCATCTTCCAGTATCCCGCTTGTTTCTCCGCAGTCTCATCACGCTTCATCCATGCACACATTGCCTTCGCATCCATCTCGGAGGGGCAATTCATGATGATTCGCGCGGCTCCTTTTTGTTTCTCCCATTCATCATAGTTGCCCACGCTTGGCGATGACACCACAATCATGCCCCATCCGGGGCCAGGCAAAAAAATTTCCTCTGGCGGTGTTCCTTGCCTTGTCACATCGTAAATAATATACCCTTTCATCTTCAAATGCCAAAAATCACACAAAAATTCCTTGGATGGTCCTCTACCCAGGTATCTTGTCACCGTCTTGATGGTCTTGTCAAACACGTACGTCGTATCTCCAAAACGGTGGACAACCAATTGGAGTTTCTCCACATCGTGGTGCAGCAACTGGTAGAGGAGGTACGAGCCGGCAGCCATCGACTTTCCAATCCCGGGCGTCCCAATCAACACACGCTTCTTGGGCTCAAAGTCGGCCTCATCGTCAGTGCTGAACCATTCGCTTAGATCCTCAAAGACGATCCGCCACGCTCGCTCCACCTCACAGTTCACATAGAAGTCACGAGTGGATTTATTCTCCTCCCATTCCCACGAGTACGGCCATCCCCTGTCCGAGGTGAGCACCATCAGTCTGGGACGCGCTGCACCGGATTGCTCCACACCGTCATCCTTTTCGAGAGTGTCGCCAACTCCCTTGTACGTCCATGACTGCGGTGGTTCCCCCTCCTCCACCTCCATTCCCGTCCCCTCGCCGCCAGGAACTTCCACGACATGGTGCCATCCCGCATTGTACACAGACTCTTAGCATCCCTTCAGGTATATCGGTGAACTCGACGTCGTTGGGTTCCTCGCTTCCTCGGCGGCTGCATCCAAAAACCTTTTGTTGATTTCATGAACACTTGCCTTTACCTCCGCAGCCACCAAACACTTCAGTAGATTGTCCACACCATTTTTGTAAGGCTTGTGTACATCCTCTTCCATGTCCATTTCATCCCTTACAGCAATCTCCATCATCACATAACGATCGGATGCCTGCATTTCGCCCAATACTCCCGCATCGCAAATATACTTCTCGGGGTTCTTTAAAAAATCCTCCCGCAAGACATTCCGATTGGCGTCCACAAAGCCCCTGCCATCAAATCTCCTATTAAGAAGCTCATTCAGCTTTCTGTCCATGACACGAACTTTTCGTTTAAAAAGTACATCTTCAATCTTAGTTACAAGGGTGAATTCTCTTCGCTGCTCCGAGTATCCGTCTGGCATTTCAAGAGCTGAATCAAGTTTTTGCATTGCCCGGAAATTGATCGTATCCCTCCTCTCATAGTCCCTCCATTGAAGAAGAAAGAACACACCCTCGTGAAGAAGTTTGTACATCTGGTAGTACGTCAAATTAAGAATTCCCTCAAGAAGCTGCTGGTCATTTACGTAAGCATCAAGTCTCCAAATAAACGTCTCCCCCGTCGCATTGCAGTCTTTCATCAACGGTCGCCCTGGAGCCAATACAATTCCAAAAAAAATATTAAGCTTCAAGCTGGTGCTGAGAGTATCTCCGTCTAGCATTAGATCTTCCACCAGACTGTCAAGATTCCACTGCGGTCACTCTTTACTCCCCACCAAATGTCGAGCTGTAGCGTCGGAGACAACACAGGTGCCGCTGGCTCCAAAGGACACTCGCGGCTGTTTCGTCCCGCTGTCCCAATGGCGTTGGGCGTGGCGCTCGCATGGCGGGACGGTCGGTGCGCCATGCAGCCGCACTGCAACGCCTGTCGGTGAAAAAGCCGAGGCCCACCGTCCCCGCAGCAACGCAACGTGCAATCGGCCACAACACCGCCACATTATCGCCCTTTTATATTTTATTCACGTTGTCGGTCTGTTTGCCCCATCAACAACACTAAAAATAACCGCACAACTTCACAGAGGAAAGAATCTTCTGGGCCGCTGGCCGGATCCTGTAATTACCCAAAAAAAAAAAGGGAAAAAAGCGGTAAATGGAGAGGTAGTGAGTTCTCCGTAATGTTTGCCCCAATGTGTCTATGTATACGCATTCTGTCAATCACTGCCGTGGAATTCTGCACATAGTTAGAATTAGAAACACTTATCCCCTGCGAAGTGGCAGGCCTTTGGGGCTCCTCCAGCCGTAAGAAAACGCCGCAAGGTGGGAATCACAGAGTGGGAAGGCAAAAATGAAAAATAAAAATAAAAATAATAAAAAACAATTTCGTCTGGCAGCTGTCGGCTCCCTGACTCCCTCAATCGCGGTCTCCCAGAAGACCGTGCGATAGAAGAGGAAAAAGTTGTGAAGAGATATCTTCGTTTGTGCGAGATATGAATTTATTTGGGCAGCCAGCCGTCCTCTCAAGCATTCTTTTCACAAAATCCCATGAAAATAAAAAAAAATTCTGCGGCCCCTACAGTGCGCAACAGCCTCCAGTGACGATGCGCCTCTGGTGGATAAAATAAAATGAAATGAAAAAAGGGTGTGGTGAGTGTGGCACTGCTGATCACAACGGTTCTCTGAAAAGAAAGTAATTCCCTGTCCAGACCTCGTAGGCACACACATATGAAAATCGTTAAAATACTTCCTAATATATTTCACCAAGACAAAATGCACTTTGATACTACTTATTTTTTTCAAATTTCTTGCCTTTTCTATCCCCCTCAGGTAGACCGTCATGAGAAAATTTGTTTGCCTCAGGAAATTTACCTTTTAAAATAACCTGGTATTGGTGTACCCTTCCGTTCCAGAACGCCACAATTTTTTTTTCAGCGTCGGTTTTATTCCTGGAATTGACGTAATCACATCTCTGCCAATTTTTCATCGGCTTGCTGTCTGCGTGTTGTATATAAATAATATCCCACGACAATCCTTGAGCAAATCTCTCCCAACCATCAAAATATTTCGACAGGTGCTCAGTGAACAGATTCACAGTGCTGGTTATCGTGTGATGCGCACTCGCCGTCGTCATCTGCAGCCCAACCAGCGTCTTCCGCGGTGACTTCAAAAAGAAAAAGCCGTCCACCAGCGGAAAGGTTGGGAACGTCGGTATGTACAGCACCCGATAATTTAATTCTTGCGGGCCATCAATGAACTTCAGTTCAGTTATTGCAGCTGCCTCGGTGGGGTAACCCTGAGGGTTTAACGTTAGCACCGAGGACCGTGGTTTGGAAGGTGATGGTGGCTTCAGCTCCTTGAGATCCTTCACTATGGAAGTGACAAACTCCACACGCAAGAATACGCTTAAAGAATACTTTTCCAAAGCTGCAGATTGAACAACATTCTTCATACCCAATACGAGGAAAAAAATATCATGCGCACTCAGCACCTTTGCCAAACGAGATACTGTTAAAACCCCAAGATAATC